AAGCATGGACGCATGAGAGAGAGATAGAGGGGGGGCAGCAGGAGAAGTAAAGAAAGCAAAGAAAAATGATCCAAAGATTAATTTTCCTTTAAAAGGGGGAGCTCTCTGATCCTGTTCCCATTAGGTCGACGAGAAAAAAAGAAAGATTTTAACGTTGGAGTCGTCATCGCCCGGAGGTTTGGCACCGTAAGTGATTTGTGAAGAAAAAAGACGAATGGCACCGGGTCGGAACTCATCCAAAGGCACAACTAAAGTATACGAACCCTGCAAGATTTGCACACAACTGTGTGCATGTGTAATCCATAATAGACAAATACGCAGAGGGTCTTACAAGGCAGAATAATTGAGGGCGAGTCTCTCTCTACATAATTCACATGAGGATTAGGGAAAATGCGCACCAACAAGGCAGAGGAAGAAGCCTCCGTTGCCTCGGTGGGTAGCTGTATAAACGTTAACCCGCTGGCGGTGAGAAATTGATAAAAATGTCAGGGAAAGTTAAAAAAAATTAAATAAATCCATATACTTGGGTGAAAATATTTTCATTTTTGTGAACATATGTGAAATACATAATGCTTTGATCTGTTTTCTTTTTCTTTTTTTTTGTAAATATGTGATTAACTAAGGATATTGGATCAAAAACTTCCTTAGTGTTTTAGTAACTGGTTTCCACAAAATGAAATGAAATAAATACACCCTTAAAACTTGCTGAAAACAACCTTTTTTTTTTTTTTTGTTGATAGCACAGAAACAATATGGCCCAATCTGAATTGAATGAGTTTGATCCATCATACTGAGATAGATTCTCAATGCAAAAATATGTTAAAGTGACCAGTGGTGGAGTAATGGCGATGCTTCAAAACTACGGTTGTATTGAAAATGATTTTATTAGAAAATAATATCATAGTTAAAATAATCCGCTTTCAATTTAGAAAAACATACCAGATATGCCGCTCCTATTTATATTAATGTTGAACATAACTGACTCTAGTCTAACTGGTTTACCTAATTGAACAAAGTCTAATGGGATCTAAAGCCATCAACACAACCGTCTGGCGTTAACATTGCTGCTATACGACTTAACTTTACAATCTTACCATTTTCTCCATCCTTTGGAGGAGGTTCAGTCGAGTTGATCAGGTTGCAGTTACAGTGCAAAACTGTGGTGTGCAAAGAATGACGAGGTTCTTTTCTAAGCCATCAAACTCATTCACAAATTGTTTTGGGGATTTTTTTTTTTTTTTTTGACAAAATACAACAATTCAATATTTTTTTTCCATTCAGTAAAGGTGCAACATCAAAAGACTAAAAGCTACATTTTGTTTTATACCCAACTTAGGACTGAAAAGTCTATTTGCCACAGGATGTTAATTCACACCCAGCTTGTGAATGGTTTGTCAAGTTGGAGCTAATTGACCCAGATATGAAGTCAATGGTAACGAAAAGAACAACAAGCTATTTGCATGCCCAGGCGCTGATATCCCTACCAGCAGCAAGTGCAAGAGATGAACAATAATGTAGAATAATCTAAATATTTATGCTTTCCCTTGGGTCGGGTGCTAAATGTGCAGGTCTGTGGCCCAGTGGGAGGGGACCGAGGCACTGAGACTAATGTTTCCAATTAGTAGTAGTAATTACAGTAATAGTGCTAACTGCTACCATTGGATGCTAAAGAGAACTTAAAGTGTAAACATCCTCATTTTGTCTTTGTTCCAGATCAGAAAGGCTGTGTTTCACAGCAGCAGCAGCTCTCTCACTCTCAGACTGTTTTGTCACCTCTGCTTCTGAAATGAATAATTAGTAACCACTTATTGTGAGATCATGCCAAAGAAATACTTTGAAAGCTGTTGGTAACGCTTCTTAAAGAGAAATTGGAATCTGCCAAAATTGTTTGGTCAATGATTTTACAAAAAACAAAAAACAAAACTGAAATTAGAAATTGGCCACAAATTTGTAGGTGCACGTCTAGCTAAAACTATCAGCTCAACATAACACCAGTTTTAACAATTTATATCCAGCATTTGTGTTAAAAACATATTAAAAGGTGTTTTTTTTTATTCCTGCATATGAGACGTGATACATTTCAAATTTAAGCAAACCTACATTTCCTGCCTTGCCTAAATGACCAAATGTACTGACTAATTAAAGTCGAATTTAAAGAAAAGAAATCCAAACAGGCCTTTAATACATTTTTATAACTCAATGCTGGCGTATTTTATGTAATGTTGATTTTTTTTTAATCAAATGTGGCCAAGGGAATGACATGCTGAACAAAACGAAAATGCACAGTGCCAAAAATCACCCTCCTAATTTTTGACTCTATAAAAATGCAAAAAATAAATAAATAAATAAATAAATAAAATAAATAAATGAAGAAATGAAGCAAGTCCATGCCTTGTCCTCAGCAGTAATAGAAAAAGGGACTGCATGTGTGCTCCTGAAGTACTTGGAGCGAAGCAGGTGCCATTCAGTACATTCAGTAATCCCTTTTCCACTCAACATCACCCCTGGTCACAATAAGGGATTATCCCTCACCCCTTCGTCTCTCTGTTTCCCCTCTCCACCTCCTTTATTTTACACCACCTCTTTCTTCCTCCTCTGTCGCCCCTTCAAACTTATCTCCTCCTCTCCTTAATGCTCCCAGCCTCTTGCAGACAGATGCCACATCTGCCATTACGGGATCAATAAACCATTACTGTGGAATCTTTCAAGAACATTTGTATTTACTTTAAACAAATGAAGAAATGTCTACACTGGCCTCCAGAAGGGCTACAGGGAAGCACGGTTTTGAAATTTCTGCATTAGCTGCAGAGCCACTGCATAAATTTTGAAGGAGGGTGCTCTTAATGTGAGTGTAGCTTCACAATTATGACATTCTTTACTGTGGGGATATTGAGTGAGGAGGAATGCAAATTAAAAGAGATCTTCAGAAGAACAGTACTTATGATAAAAACCACCTGGAGGAGAGAGTGAGATTTGGAGGAACTGTACTGCAACGAAACATGAGAAATCACCCAAACATGTCGATTTAGGGGATTTTGTTGTCAGTAATTACACAACCGCCATTTTCACTGTTAAACTAACAATAACATGTTGATTTCTTTGTTTTGACAATTTCAAGCATAATTATGCCGAAATTAATCTACCTACGGTTTCAAATTCACTTTTTAAAATGTCATTTATGTAGAAAGAAAAATGCTTTTTTCACACAACAGCTTCTACCCCACTCTGTTACCCACAATAACAATAATAAAAAAATGTTACAGTAGCTAAAACGACTGTGGTCAGCAGCTGGTAGTGTCTGTGTTCCTGCTTGCAAACCGAAAGCATGCAGACACGTGTCACTTGCAGTCAGTCCCAGTTGTGACAGGTCGTACATGTTCCAACTCTGTCCAAACAAACAATATGTTCGCTGGCAAAGGACCAACCGGAGAGGAGGTGGGGGCAGATGGGGGGGTTCTGTCATTCCCAGCTAAGGCTAGTTGTTTGTGAATTGCTCTGTGCACTGCGGCGCATGCTCAGTAGACAATGAGATGGCCGAGAGAGTGCCAACGATCAGCTGCACAGAGCATAAAGTGCTCTGTACCTGTTGCTGCACACTGCCGTTCAGATGGCTAAAACATCTCACTTCAAAACTGATAAATTAAGGTTGTTTATGAGTGTTGCCCGATGTGCCATGGGGTGTTTCGTGTGTCATTTCGCTCTCGACAGGGACATGTCTCATATCCGCTTTGACGACAGACGATTTAAAGTAATCTTCCAACGTCCTAGTCGAAGTCTCCCTTAATAAAATGTGATCTTGTTTTTTTTAATGAACAATATCTAACTGTAAAATATCAGTTTAAGGTGATTTTGGTTTGATTAGGGATCATGCGGTGTCATATTGCAAAACAATCAATTGTTCCAAAGAGGGATCACAACCAAAGTAAATAGAAAATGTTTGTGATGTAAAAGGTATTGAGAAACTAACATCAAATTATTAAATAACATATGCATTTGAGCCTTTCTGTGATTATATATCTCTACAGTTAATAATAATAGTTTATGACGAATAACAATTAAGTGACATACAAAGGTTTCACACGTTAAGCTATCATTTTCTTTTCTTGGTATTCTTAAATAGGAAAAAAAAAACAATCACTAATTTTTCATGGTGTCTTTCAGTTTACTCAAATCAAGTCTAGCTGCTCTACTTTTACTTTTTATTTTATTATTTTTGTTTTTTTGTTTGTTTTTTTCAAATTGAAAGCATAACGAGCATCATTTTAACACTTTATGACGAATTCTGGTAGAAACCTCATTTCACATTCTGGAAAAAATGTATTTCAAGTTCAGGTTCATTCTAAAAGTGGCAGCAACGAATTAAAAGATCTCATCACTGCCACTTGAAGCCTCGTCCAGGCTGCTCGTTCTTTTCCCTTTTTAGGTTCAACTTGATTGGCAGACCAGCAAGCATTGCTTATTCAAATGAGGGGACCAATCAAGCTTCTTTCACCACTACCGAGGAGATTTTTGCATGGTGAAAGGGGATTTATGATATTACATCTCACTGAACTATGTAGTTGATGTAACAACCTCTATTTTTATAATTTTTCTTAGGGACCACTTTCTTTTTTTTTTTTTTTTTGAGCCTGTACACCAACTGTTGTCAAATTCTTCACCACTCCCAAATGTTTCTTCTCAATCTTTTACTTATCCTCACGTATCCTGTTTCCATTGCTCACATCATTTCATCTGTCACAATCTCATTTCTTCCTTTCCCCGTCTTCTCTCCCTAGATACAGAGTGCACTTGTGTTTTCTTGAGTTGCAGCTAGCCGAAAATGGGCTCGAGAGATGGGCGTAAGAGATTTCCTGCTCCCCAGAGAATCGACATTCAAATATGAAAAGCAAGACATTTTACCCAGTCATTCGCAAACGGGCAACACAAACTCGCCCGCGCCACATAGGGACTCGACATTCACTCGTTGCCACATCTCTAAAATCCAGTCAGTCCCCACATACCTTGTCAGCCATGATCATGGACGAGCCCCCATGGATGCCCAAAATGGGTATGAGTGTCTGCGAGGAAATAAAATCCAAAATCTGGGCAATGGCCTCTTGGTCAGTGCCATCCCCAAACACCACGCCGTGGATCTTGGTCCCTGACATCAGGTCACACATGTGGGTGATGATGCTTTTCGGGTCGGTCTTGTTGACCAGCAGCGTGACCACGTTGACGTCGATAGGGTCCTCTTTGCTCCACAGCGCCCGGATGTCCTGGTCCGAGATGTAGCGCGTGCACCCCAGGATCACGGCGATGTTCAGAACCGGCACTTTCTCCGACCCACCGCCCGTCCGCTGCTTCTGCGCTGCCACCGGGTCCACCGTGGCCGTCACCGCCACCAGGAGGGCCAGGGAGAGCAGCGCACCTTCCCCTCCACCGTGGCGACTGGTGCTCCTTCTACCCCTCCTCTTGCTCCTTTTGCTGCCGAGGGACATGGTGCTAAACCACTTCATCCCCTGCATGGAGAGAGGATAATGGGACCAGATGTAGACGGATCAAGGAGAGAGGAAAAAGTGTGGCGAGATGGTGGTGAGAAAAAGCAGAAGAGATAAATTGTTAATGCGCAGCTCATTTAGCCCACACATTGAAGTAGCAACTTTTTTTTTTTTTTTTTTTTTTCATATTCAGTTTCTTCTACTGTGAGTTTATTGAAAATCAAAACATTGCGGGGAGGGAGATGGCCTTGGGAGGATGTTGAGGAGGGGTGAGAGGAAGAGAAGATGACTAACAAGTTGACACCTTATGGTCACGACTGCTGGGATCAGATGATTATGGTACAATCTGTGCTTGCTGAACCAAAAAAGAAGAATTTTAAAGAGCTCACGTTTTTGTCTTAATTTTTTATACTTGATAAAACATTAAAAACACAATGAACTGATGAATTGGATGACGAGTTCATGCTCAATAGTTGAATTAACTATATTTTTGCCGCAAAGTTTTGTTAGATTTAGGCAGAATGAATCAAATATATCCGATAAATTACAATATTATTGAAACGTTGGTGTATTTCAGTAAATTATATTCACACATTTTATGGCCTAAATAAGAAATTGATGTTTTAAAGTGTTTATTTCTGTTAATTGTGATGATTCTTTGCATACAGTTAATAAAAAAACGAGTAAAGTATGTTTAATTTCTGCATAAAGGTTGATGTTTTCAAAACATAGTTTTAATCTGACAAATGAACCTCGTCTGAATGCATATTCTAACTTGCCAAATGTGACCGTATCAAAGCCAAAATGAGCGTCAAACATGAATCAAAATTTTTATTTTCCATTTCAAAGCGCCAATGATCCTCATAATTCAGCTGCTCTTTTTGATACTTTCTCAGGAATTAAAGTGTGCGGGAAAGTTAGAAAGATCAAACATTTCTTTTCTACTAACAGGTTAGGTTTAAACATGAAAAATGTTGTTTAACTGTAAAAGACCTCTAACCCTCCATGGTCTCACGCCAAAAAACATCCATGAACAATTACAACAGAACAAACAAGTGGGCTCTGAAGCCTGCACCAATGTTTTGAAATGTGAGTCACATCTACATCCTAAAAGCATTGACTCGTTAATGCTAAACCCCTACTATTTTCTAACACGGGCCTTTCAGATCACTAATAAAGCCACGTTTTTGCACGGCACTAATTATTGCTGTGGCCAGTGTGCCGCAGCATCGGTTCAAAGCGACACCTCCTGAGCTGCAGCAGCGCTGCATGCCTGGAGAACGGGAGCTTGCTGAAATTATACAACGTGTGATGCAGCTGTCAGACACACATATGGATTCGTTTATGTCGGAAGCACGTTCCGCTGGGGAACACTGCATGGAAGAGAAACAGAGGCGAGTAGTAGATTTCAAATTCGTATCGCACGCTCTCAGTATTCTCACAAGTTTGCGAAGGTTGCCTGTTGCTCCAACAAAGTAGGTTTAATGGAGCTCCTCAGGCTAAAACACCAGGATATCAGTTTGGTTTTTGATGCAGACTGGGGTAACCTTTAGTGATGTACGGAGGACGCTGGGTAGCTAATTGAGGACGAGGTAACCAACTGACAAAGAAAACTGAGTGGGGAAGTTTTTGGGGAGGAGAATCACAATCCAGACCAGACCAACTCTATTTGTCACAGCCAGAAGCATGTTCGAAGGCAAGAGGCTGTGGTATTTTAGTACATGCACCATAGCAATGCCTTTAAATCCAACGGGACTTATGGACAGGCTAACAGCAGACACCGTTATTACAGCCATTCCAGATGAAAAAAATGTTGAGTTTGTTGGGAGTCCCAATGCAACCTAACTAAAAAAACACCCAAGCCAATATACGCATATAAGTTGGTTACCATGGAAACCATGGATGCAGGAAGGAGAAACAGGTAAATACAATTTCACTGAAATCCCCTGGAAACATTTTCTAATTTATTTGAATTTGACAAATTACTTTTTTTACACATTAAATTACACGGGAATCCTAATCTTGCTTCTCCCGGTGCGGCACTTCGCTCCCTGGCTTGGCACATGTTGGACTGAGGCGTTAGGACGGAGTTTCACAGCTGTAAAGTTGCGACCGTCAGAAATTATAGATAAGGTAAAGTGGGTATATCATTTGGAAATAAAATGCAAATCGACCTCACTTTCTCTACCACTTCTCTTCCCATATAGAAAGTACTCACTGGCCTCAACCTGGCTCTCTGAGAGCATAAAACATGATGAAATGTCACAAGACAAATGAGCAGGTGTGTTGACACAGGGAGAGTGAGCCCAAATCCCAATGACATGAAACATGTGGTCACATAGTGAACCCATGCATACGGATGATAATTTACAGATTTACTGACAGAAGTGTGTGTTTTCGGATCACCGCGTAGAATGCGGGTGCGGGATAGATTTACGGGAGCCATCATTTCTCATGCCACTCTTTGAGGAAACACGGATTTAGGAGCCGAGATCAGCTCTTGATCTCTCACCAATTGTAAAGCTAGTTCTTATATGTTGGTATTATAATCGCTGATACATCAAACTTCGTAATGTGTAGTAAAAGCTTTTGGTTATTTGTTTTTTTTTTTTTGTTTTGCATGAGTTTGACTAACTTTTGTATGTGTAGAACTTCAGTCAACATTTTTAGGACGTGTCAGAAAAAAATTGGCAAGATGGAACTAAATCGATTTCAACCAATTAAACTGGGAAACATGGAAAAAAAAAGTGTAGACATGGTTATTGACACATGATGCACAAAAAAGTTATTTCAGGCACAAAAGACTTACTCATGATTTGTTTTCAAAAGAGCAAAAGCTTAAAGTAAAATTCAGTGGAAAATCTGAAATTAAAAATGTTTAAGTTGTAAAATTTACCTTGATTTTTGACTTGGTATATATATATATATATATATATATATATATATGAAATAATATAATACATTATTTTATTTTAAGATAAGATTCAACAAGACATTATAAGGGAAAATGTAGTAATCGCTGTCCTTGAAGTGCATTGTTTTTTTTTTATTTTTTTGCCCACACTCAGTGATTGTTTTAAGTAATTATGATTTCAATTACAATCAAAACCCATTTTTCATTCATTGCTCAGCATGTCTAGTCTCAAGAGAAGGCCTACAGATGGAGCTTTTTCCTCATGTTAGTCTCTGCTAGTCAATTTCAGAGGCCTCATGATTCTTTGGCTGTCAACCTGGCACCTCTTTGGCCTACTTATAGAGAGGAGCAAGCGAGTCCATTGCTGAGAAGATTATTATTTTTGCTGTCAGTCGGTTTGTGCCTAAAATCTGGAAAACAAAATGTCTTTTCTTTTCATCTTTTTTTTACTTGTCTTAACTCTGCAGCACTGCAAAAAAAAATAAAATAAAAATAAATAAAAAATTAGGACAAAACAGTGGCCATGAAAGCAATATACTAGGCAAGAGCTATAAAGAGAAACAGGGAAAAAAAAGAGAGAGAACATGCCCCACAAAAGCATATTGAGCAGTTTGTTGTCACATCACGGCCATTGTTTCTTGGCACTACAATAGTGGATGATGTTTGGCAGACAAATCTGTACTACTGGCAGTTTGCTCTCCACACATTCATACAAGCTTACATTCCCGTCCTAACAAGAGGTAGAACATGCAAATAACTCCTAAGCACCAGTGGTTAGATTGTGTTTCAGTAGTTTATAAATTTCCATTTTGTTTTTAATCTACAAGTGGAAAGTAACTCCTACCTACCAATTATTTTTCACTACAGCCCATCTTATCAGTTTTTATGCAGGGCCGAGTTTCACATGCATCGATAATTCATCTGCATTATCTTTATGCGACGATTAAAATGACTGCATTCACAGCGGCCACGTTAGATTTTCCTGCTCGCCTCCCAAATTGAATTAAGCATGGATTAATGTACAGTGCACACTTAGTGGATGCATTGTACAGAGTTGAAGTCTGAATGATGGATACTGCAGATGATAAGTTTTACCAAACCACAGCCCAGAGGACACGACTATGTGTGTTTATTGTGCATCCTAGAGCCTTGATATTGAATTGCTCTCCTGCCCACACTGTCTTCTCCATTACTCCACATTCATTCATCGCTCTGTCATCTATTCACTTCTCTGTCCATCACTTTTATTCTTCACGTTGCTTTTATAAATCAGTCTTGCATCCGCAGTCAACCATTTTATAATGTAGCGCAGCAACTTAAGAAATTTGTTTTGTTTTTTTTGTGTTTTTTTTCTATGTAGGGATGTATCAATATAAACATTTTTATCATGATTATAGACAGCAAAATCAATCCCAGTTAATCCTAGCTTGTCCATTTTTGTAAGGATTTGTTAAAAATGTGAAACGTGTCATTGGCACTGGAAGTTGCTGCAGTGGGACACAGAGCATTACCTTAGTTTAATATTAGTTTAATATTATAACACTAAAATGATTTGTCTTGAGAATAAGACCCTTTTGTCACAGAGACAAAGGGTTACAAAGTTGTCAAAGTTAGCAACTAAATTACATCACAGAGTAATCACGGTCTGCAACCTGAAGACAATTTGGAACCAACCTTCACACCGTTATGTTTTCACAAGCAGAGTGGATACCGTTAGCTGTTTTTAATTAACCTTAAGGTTGTTTGGAACTCAAAGTGAAAAATATGTGCTTAAGCCTCTTATAGCACATACTAGAAAGTTGTGTCTTGGCTAATCAGCAGTTTTTTTTTTTTTTTTTTTTTTTTTTTTTTTTAAAGTAGATGCTTCTCAATTTGTTTCAAGGAATAAAAGTTCTGTTATATAATTTTTGGCTGTCCTGGCAAATACACGGAGATACCGGATGACAGTGGTGGCAGTTCTATAAATTACTGGAAATAAGTCAAATGGACAAGCTAGTCCACAAACTAGCTTGTCCACTAACATTAGCCACTATCTGCTGGAGACAAAGGATAAAAAACATCTTTAAAAAAATAAAATAAAAACAAAGTCCAAAATGAAGCTGCTATGAACACTTTTTAGCCGTTCATTTTATGGCTGCAGT